GTTGTTGTCAAATGCTGTTGATAAAATAACAGAATAGTTTTTTAAATTTCTCCCAAAATTTGTGATAGACAGGTTGTTGTTCTTCGCTTCATCGCAGAATCAAGATAGAGTATCACATTGGAGTAGAATCTCATAATATTACGATCCCCTCAATGTTGCGAACATGCTCATCAACTGTTACATGTGCTACGCTGGGTTGTTTAGTTCTTACGGAAGTTTGTATTACGGGTAAGAATCTCTAAATAATGTCATACTGTAACCTTTTCGTAGAAAATTTCGTATCACTAGGGTAGAAAAGTTGCTGATTACGAAGCGAGATAGTTGAATGGACAGATGTCCAAAATGGTTCTGTTCCTAGTTCTAGTCAAAGAGTCTTAACGGATGACTGCATTATTTGGTAGTGGTGATGACGCAAAAGTGCTTCTTCTGTAAATCTGCGAAATTGTTTGATTAGAACAAAGGTTAACGGAACAAAATATATGAAGCACTGATAAAAAGCGAACATTCATATTCACTCAAACGTGGTCGGTGCTTATAATCAAAATTCTTTATTCCAATAAAAATAAGAATTAAACGAAGATTAGCTGAATGGCGATGCATGCAGTTCAAGCTAGGGTCTTCCGGACTCACTTGTGTAGGATGATTCATGAATACGTTGCGACGATGAGGATCTTGCACCTTCAATTGGAATCACACGGTCTCTTCCGGTTACGGCGTAACGACGTGGCGCCTCGACTGTCAGACGGCCCTACAACTGTTTTGTTTAGGTTAATTTGTAAATAGAATGAGAAGGAATCATTTAAGAAGAAAAACATGCCCTCGAATCGATGTTACTGGAAATACGAGCATGGTCAACATCATGCGGCATTTGGTACTTTCGTACAAAGTACATTTTTGTGAAATTGTCACGATCGCGGACATCTTCGTGCCGTCCTTCGATCATCAAAGTGTCATCCTGGGTTTTCACCTAAATTATTCGGATAAACGTTAGAGCAAATTCTTCAGTTTGACAAAGTGCGGTATTGAATATACCTGAATTTCTTCTGGTTTGAATTGATAGCAGTCCACTTCAACTGCGAATCTACGCTCATCATTGATAATGTTCGAATGCACGTCGATACCTTCCTGAAAGATCGGCTGTGAAGAAAAAACATGCTGTTGCTCTCGCAATTGTGTCTTGTTCATAGATCCAAAAAATTCATGTTGCTTACTGACTTTGCATAATTCATAAGGCAGTTAAACTAGCAGAAGCAACGAGTTGGAATAATCTTTCGATGTTAGGGGACAAGTTCTCATAATACTATGTACAAAAAAATCAAGTGCAACCTTGAATATTGGCTCTGCCCAGCGGGGATAAATATCCTGCCAGAATGGATCATTTCTCCAGTTTCGATCCAGACGATCCAAGTGCGACGTGAACTAAACAATTTTTTTGTTTATCAGAAGACTTCCAAGTGACACGAAGTCTCAAAATCTACATGAGAATATGCGAAGCGGATATTACTCCTTGAAAATGGTGAAATCCACATTAGGGGCGGAAACCAGTTCGCAAATCGAACTCGACCGATGCACGAGCTATTGTCATGGCAATATTTGCACAACAGATGCGATTATTGAACAAAAATCGAAATACAAAAATGAAAACGAGAATTGAAAGGTACACTGCAAGAATTATTTGTGAATTTTCACAATGTTTGCCTTGTGAAGTTTGCCAAGCTCGATTTTTTCTTCACTACCAGACGAGGAATAGTGGGGAAAATAGCTCCACAGAACTTACTCTTGGCATAACTGCGTCCATTCGCGGCCAATCCGACGGCCAGTCGCGCCACCAGTGGTCAGTATCACGCCAGAACTGCAAGAAGAAAGCGAAAGTGAGAAGAAAAATAAAATGCTCAGATTTCAAAAACAAGGCCATACGCAGTTATAGAGTTAACCTTAAAGATATTTAAATTCCAAGGGGCTTATTGATTGTTTACTATTGGAAAGAGGGTAGTTTGATGATAGACGGAAAGGTATGAGGGCTGACATTGACAGTGGACCGGATCATAATGGGCCGCGCAGAGAGGAACCAAGCCAACACTAAAACGGTCAATACGAATAGAAGGTATGATGAGTAGCATATGCTTCTAGTTCGCTTCATGAAGAATTCTGCAGAATGAAGTAGCTCGAATTTTTTTTTGGAATAAACAAACATCTTCTAGATAGTTCTTCTGTTGATCAGTTTGAAGCCCTAGTTTTTTGTTCATGTTTCTGGGAAAATAATGAATTCCTCTGAGGTGGTAAGTTCGACAATATTGTATAGTAAGTTTTGAAGCACTGTTTTTTTTCTTTGCCTAATCCCAAAAACGTTATTCTTACCACTTTTAATCCGAACCTTATTATCACTCAGAAGAGTTGTACAAGAACAGAAAATATCTATCCAAGCAGAAGATTCGTATGTTTGTGTAGGATGAAAGAAAGAGAAAATTTTGGGGAAGTGATTTTATACGCTGGCTACATCTGCCACGCTATATCTGCTGTAATCTTACTGCGACGATATGTACAGATTTGGAACTCAATGCTATACATAATCTCTCAAAAAAATTCTGTCTGGTTCTAACAGAATTTTGTTACCACGAATCCCTTATTGTGTTTATCATAGATTTAAAGGGATGAATGACGGTTTTCAACTATGGCAATCCTTTAACCTTCAAAAAAGCTGATTTTAACGACGGATAACGCAACTGTTGAGGTTGCAAGAAAGAAGTGACTGAAGTGTTTGAAGTAGTGTAGCTGTCTCACACTCACCCTGCGCATGAGGTCTCTCGGGCGAGGCCAGTCGGCAGGCCAATCCTTCCAATCGTCGAACCAATCCTCTCTAGCCCACCATGAGTCGCGATGTCGCAACGCGAACTCGTCATCGAACCAATTGCGACGCATTGTCACAGCCATATTGGTCGAATTTTCTGAATGAACTTCTGTATCTGTAGTCCTTTGTATCTGTAGCATTTTCAAACAATACAACGCAACAAGGCAAAAAATTGAGCTAGTGAACATTCAAAAGTTGAAGTGAAAATTGCTAAGCACTCTGAAAGACGGAGAAATTTGTGCGTACAGCGCCTGTATGCCAAAACGTACCCCATTCATGAGGAACATCAAATTCAAGTTTGCTGGTATTTCAACATGCGAACATTGAGGTCTACAACGAAAGAAGAAGAAGAAGAAAAACAGAAGAATGCAAATAAAAGGTAGCTTGAACAATTTATGTTAATCACCGCAGTGAAGCCATAAACGACGACGTGATTGCCGAGATGGCGCACAAAAAGTATTGCCGATGTATTACTCGACTGTTTTCAATGTTTTTACGACGCTAGCAACCCCTTAATGCGACGCAATGAGTGGGCGAAGATCGCCTTTGCCAAAAATTCACCTGTTGGCATGTCAACTGGTTTTATGAGACGCTTAGAGGCGAAGAGGTCGGCAACCACAATTTGAGGGGTGGGGGGAAATCTTATACAGACATTGACGCAGTAAATTTCGCATTTGTGCCGACAACGAAACGAGGAGGAGAGGTGTTTGCCGCTTGACTCCAAGCACACACATACACATTCAATTCCATCCCTAGCTGCGTGGATGTTAAACACAGCACCGCCCCGACCAGGAATGGTTTGACTGTGTACGCGAATGAGTGTGCCCGCTTGTTTGTGACGTGCCATTGCACGTTTCCTCGAATGTTACACGACCTAAGCGGGTAGGCGTGAAACTGTACACTTTCACGATGATGGTAGCCTACGAAACACCTGAATCGAGACAACTTTTTGCAAAGAAAACGTCGACGAATTGAATGTGATGGGTTGCAGAATTGCCCTACTACTGATTGGCTTTTCGTAAGGACAAACGTATTGTTTTGTGGTGCAAATGTGGAAATTCCTATATCGAGTATTCCTCAACTCTTCCGAAACTTTAGATAAATCTGCATAGCATTGATTATTGATGTAATAGTAGTGAAGAACTGATCAATATACTGAGGCTACGAAATTGTGTGCGCATTGATCCTAAGTCATGTACAAAG